AACACAAACATGTGAGAAGTCAGAATTTTGAGCAAGACATCTTCTAATTGGATTGGATTTTTATGCATTTCCTCTGTAAAGCTCCCAATATTTAAACAAATGTAAGCAACGCAAGAAAACAGCATGCAGATTTTCAAAGGCTAGATCTGATAGCCCTAGAAAAACCCAATGTCACTAGCTTTCAAATCAAGGAAGGAAGTATCTCTGTCTATGGCTGACAGGGGCTAAAAGCAGTAATGCAGGGGTCTTCAAACTTGGCCCTTTTATGACTTGTGGACTTCAACTCCCAGAGTTCCTCAGCCAAGCACGCTGGCTGAGGAATTCTGGGAGTTGAAGTCTACAAGTCATAAAAGGGCCAAGTTTGAAGATCCCTGCGGTAATGCCACCCCAAGCAATTGTAGTGTATTAAACAAACTATGAAGAATTATGGCTTACACTATCAGAATATCACATCCTCCCTAAATTAGGCTCCCTTCTCTAAGCGCTTCTGTAGTTTTCGTCTTTTCTCAAGAAACAATCCCAATCTGTTCACCCCGCTTTCCAAATCGCAATTCCGCCCTCAAAACTGACAAACTGGAGCCCCTGCAACTTTCGGCAGCACCCCCACCAGCACTACGCCCTAAGTACGATGGGAACGGGAACGGGGGGGGCACATTCTAGGCCCCGCCCCTTCCCACTTCTCTGGCCGCTGCCGCTCAACCTTAGCCCTCAACTCGCGTGCGATGCTACTGCCCCCCCCCCCACCTTCGAGAGTGACGGCATCGAGCTCGCGCTGCGATTTCTCTGCGGAAGCAGGTTCGGCCTGAGGCGCCTCCTCCTGCATCTCCACATCGGCGGCCTGAGGGGGCGGTTGAGGGGGTTCGGCGGCAGGGAGCTTGGCCTTTTCGGATCCAGCGCGACGTCTCGACCCGCCTTCCTGCTTCATGGCTCCGTCTTCCACGAACCGGCGGCGACCGTGACAGAGCAACAATCGCGGGGCACAGCGCAGGGCACGACGGGAAAGCAAGAGCAAGTTCGACCAGCCGATTGCCGAGGGGCGGGTCGAAGAAAGAACGCGGATGGATTTGTCTTCTCAGCAGCCTAAGGAAAGGAGATCCGTTGTAGAAAGGGGGGGGGAGGCGGAACTTTCCGCCCTTCCGCTCCGTTTGCGAAGTGGGCGGGGATTCACCCTGGGGCGCCGGCTGTGAAGTGGGGGGTGACGTCAACGATAGCCCTTTCCTTGCGAGATCTCCTTATTAGCAGCTCTTCTCAATCTTGGGAACTTGAAGATTTTTATTTTAGTTGGTTTTTTTATCACGCCTTATAAGTAGTTCAAGGCGACGAACATTTCTAATGTTCCTTCCTCCCCTTCCTCCTCTTTTCCCCACAACAATAACCTTGCGAGGTGAGGAAGAGTGACAGGCTGAGAGATACTGCGGAAAATGTGGCACAAAATCACGCAAGCCCAGTCTTTAGCCTGATGCCTTGGCCCCTAGACCTAAGACCTACGGACTTCCAACTTCGGAGTTGAAGTCCACACAACTTTAAAGTTGCCAACGTTGAGAAACTGCCTTATGGAAAATGCTTAAAAGCCTCCAATGCAACATCGCCATTAGGCTTATTGCAACCTTTCAAACGCTTTTGTTATTTTTGTGTCAAAATAAGATTGTGTCAAAATAAGCATTTTATCTGGATCGGGGGGGGGGCTTCTAGGCCAAGTAACTGCATGTAGAATTGAAGCTTTATTGATTCACGATTATGCTGTTTTTCATTTAATCATGTCTGACTCTTGGAGATTCTATGTGCCATTCTATGTTCTTCCGATCTTGCACTACTTTTTTGAGTTGCTATGACTAGCTGATTTTTAACTATATAATTCTAGAATTCTTAAAATAATTTTAGTAAATTAAGGGCTTTATAGATTCACTTGATTTCAAAAAAAAATGCCAAAGATATGCTGTAATGCAATAGTAGTGAATATCTGTAGCTCGGGGTGTAGGATGAGGGTTGGTTTCCGAACATTTCAAACATTTCGTTGCCAGGCTAGATAACATTTTCAGCGGCGTTTAGGGGATGACCAGCAGGTCACCTCCCAATGACCCTGGTCTGATGTAAACTCCCCATCACAAGACCCATGACAACATTCACTGACACCTGACCCATCACAACATCCTCACTCGACACATATCTGAAGCCCTTATAAACAGAACGCTGACATTGACACCCCCTAAACTCAGCTGAAGATGTTACCTAGCCTGGTAATGAAATGTTCAGAAACCAAGCAACGAGCTTGGAGAACAAACCACCCTTATGCTGTAATGTTTGAGATAGATCCCATTAACCATGTTTCTTCAATCTTGCATACTATACTGCTTTTCTTTGTGACCTGTAATCTCTGCAAAACCTATTTGCCAATATTTTAAAACATTTCATTGAAAAAAATAATAAAACTCAGATTCTATCAATGGATTATATATAAAATTTTATTGGACTAAATATTTGACCAAAACTATAATAACTATTATTTGTACGAAAAAAAGTTAATAAAAATAATACCATAATTTTTTGGGGTGTGCATATCCCTTAATTCTTATGTGATAATTACAATTAAGATTCTTGTTGCCCTGACCTTTAACTGGGTGAAACACTGCATTATACTGCAACAGTTTTTGAACCAAGGTATCTCAAATGGGCTAATTTACAGACAGTGTCGAAAATCTGGGACTTATTATTGAGGGAATGAAATTTGGAAAAGTTGCAGCTGCTTCAGTGGTACTGGCTGCTGCTGAGCTGCTGCTGCAGTTGCATAATCTTCATTTTCAATGTTCTCCAGCTAGTCCTGCAATCCATTGCTCCCTCTCCCACCCATCAGCTGCCTCTCACCCACCTGCTAGAAGGGGGAGGAAGGAAGGCCTGTACCATTCACTCAGTGTTCTGACCTGTGCTGCTGCCCCCTCACATTCTTTTTCTGACCTGCATGACCTGCTCATGTGCCTTCTTACGGCTGAGAGAAAGTGACTACCCCAAAGGAGTCATTTCATGCCTAAAATGAGACTAAAATTCACAGTCTCCTAATTTCTAGCCTGGTCTCTTAATCTCTACATCAAACTGGAACTGAATACATATGCTTTCAGATTTTAATTTAAATTTGCTAGTCACTGGTAATTAATAATTGCAAACAGTATTCTATAAGCATTTAAACTTTTTTTAATATTTGATATTGCAAACAAAAGAAAAATTAAAAAGTAAGAAAAACCCTGAAAATCATTCAAATAGCTTCCTCACTTGCATTCCTCCCCTCATTCTTTCTTCTCTAGATGTATTCTGAACTTATTTAAATTTTATTATTCAATTTAAAAGTGATTTTTTATGAAATTAATGGATGTTGTGCTGCCCAAAGCATAACAGATATTAATTATTATAAACCTTTTTTTGGAGGTAAGAGGAAAATGAATTCAACTTTTATGGCATGAGGAGGGAAGTGCTCTTTCCTGTACACCCTGCTGTCCTTCACTGGGTCTGTTCTGGAGCAGATCAGCTGGGGAAAAGATGGCCTGCTAGCGGTCTCAAGGGAAAGGTCTTCAATTAATGAGCCTGGCTGCTACAGTGAACCTGAAACCATGAGCTTGTACAGGACTCTGAATTGTGAGCCTGTAATTTAATGGAGTTTAAATTTATTTTTAATATCTCAGATAACAAAAAAAATTGTGAAGACTTTTTAATGTATGTGGTGATGAATAGTAAGCATATGCATGCATATGTAGATGCACACATACACCTGAGAGGGAACATAGATTTGGACCTAGTTTAGTCTATAAATTAGTGCTGATTCTTAAGCTAATTTTGCTGGAATTTGATAAGATTTATGATTTTATATAATTCACTTCTGGCAAGAAGCTACCTGCATAATTCAATTTTACATACAGATTATAATATATAAGCCGATTCTTGCATCATAATAAGCCAAAATACAATTCAACCAATAAGTAAGCCTTGATTAAATAAATTAAGCTTAGTTCAACTTGTGGACCCAACAAGAAACTCAAATCACAGTATAATTAGTACATGACTGGTCCATTATTGCACTAAAAGTTTATGTGGGAATGCTGTTTTTTTTATTATTTCTTGTTTTGCAAACCCAGACAATGCAATTTATTCAGTTGCCCACAAATTAGCTTAAGAATAGCCACATTAGAGAACACAATTATATCCAACAGGTGGCTGGCCAGTCTCCCTTTATGTTAGAAGTGCTATGTCCAGGAAGCAGTAGGACAGTACTACAGAATCTCTGTAGGTTGTCTCCTTCTTCCTAAAGCCTGTCTGAAATCATTTCTGATAATTTTAAAATGAAATTTTATTTTTCTTCCACAATACATTAAATATAATAGGATTATGAAACAGAATGGGTAAGAAATAGTAGAAGCAGGGCTGAAACTGGAAAGTCTTCAGTCTCCTGCTCCAAGCTCTCTAGTTATGCAGCCACCGCCTGGAGCTGCTTTCTTATAAAAACATAGCTGCTTGATAGTTATACTTCCATGACCTATTGACAAATGCTAGAGTGAAAAATGTTTTTCACGTGACTACTTAAAGCCACAATAATTTAACATTATTTTAAAAAGAAAAAAAGAGAAAGTAATTTTATTTAGAGGCTGTGATATTGATTTGGGTCTGAAGGAGTGTTTATATATGGGAGAAAATGCTTTCTGTAGTCATGTGGTTTATGCTTTAGGAGGGGCTATTTTACAGTTTATTTTAATTTTATCATAGTTCTTTTATATTTGCCAGTAAGAGTTGTGCAAGTCCTCACTTCCAAACATGGAATTGAGGAGAAGGTGCCTGCAAGATAGATTGTGACAGAAGTAACATACAAATAATTACACCAACATAATAAGGACTCGATTTATCCATTTCTGAAATGTCTTATATTCTAAAATGAGAAAATGGGGCAATATGTTTATGGTTTAGATGTAATAATATGTTCAAAGACATTAATTTTATATTGAAGTCATATACAGATAGTCCTCCACTTACAACCATAATTGGAACTGACTATTTGCTAAGCAATGGAGTTGTTAAATTTGTTTTGCTCAATTTTATGATCTTTTTGCTGCAGTCATTAAATAAATCACATCATCATTAAGCAAATCCAGTCTGAATGTATGTGCAAGGATTGGCCATAAGTCACTTTTTTCAGCAGTTCGTAGTTTGTTAAATGGTCATACATTGAAGACTATCTGCAAATTTATTTTTCTTTAGTTTTTTTCCTCCTTATGTTTAGTGATTATTTTAATCACCATAATGGTTTCTGACTGGCCCTAATCTAAGTTTGAACAATCCATTAAGCTCGACTACAAATGATTTAGTTTTGTGTGAATGCAGTTATGGAGAATTGAATGCAAGAAGTAAATACCTAATATAAATTGATATTCTCAGGCAAGCTTCCTTTCAAATAAACTGTCTGATTACAACTTTCATTTTTAATATATTAGGCTGCTGCATTTGTGCATGATTCTTTTCTAGCTGCAAACATAGTCTGATTTAGAAGAATGGCTTAAAAACTTTTCTTAGATAGAAGATCAATTGCAAATAGAACCACATATAGTGCAGGGAGGGCTGAGGAAACATCAGGATGTACAGATCCACTAACAGTGCATCCACTTCGTTGAATGGATATTCCACTTATTTCTTCAATTAACATTCCAGTTATATCCCATTCCTCTTCAGGTAATTGCTGGACTTCTACAGTAAAATTCTGTTTTCCATTCCAGAAATATTTGTCTAGGATTCTTCCAACCTTTGGAAACAAGAAACAAATAAAATAGAATTTGCAGCACTTGATCAGTAACATCCACATGTGGAAATCAATTGAGGTCAATATAAAATGCGGCATGTATATGGCATTATATTAGTGGTAAGTTTCAAATTTGCAATGATTTAACCTTGTAATTGCCCCAGTCTTATTGGAAGTGATGCAGTTCTGCTTTAAGCATCCTGAAAATGTTCTAAGCATGAAACACCAGTCTGGTAACATTAAAATGATCTATTTGAATCTCAAAATGTTTGGATTTGAAACAGTTTGCACACCAATAAATTGTATCAGTTGTAGCCAAAATATATACAGGTAGTCCATTTACAACCATTTGTTTAGCAATCCTTTAAAGCAGGGCTTTTCAACCAGTGGTACGGATACCACCTGTGGTACATTGGCACTTGGCAGGTGGTATGCGGCCAACCCAGAAAAATGGTAGCGGGGGAGGGGAATGAGCTGAACCGATGGCAGCACCGCACAAGCCTGAGTGAGAGATGGCTGGAGCTGCAGGGCTGTCAGGGCTCAGCGGAAGCGCCAGGATCAGCGCCAGACTCCAGCTGGAGCTCGGCGCTGATCCTGGCACTTCTGCTGAACCCAGAAGAAGTGCCAATCAGCTGGAATGTTGCAGCAGCTCCAGGGTCTTGTGATTTACATTCAGATGCTTGGCCACTGATTCATATTTATGACGGTCACAGTGTCCCAGGGTCATGTGAAGTGACCAAAACCTGCTGCAACCACCCAGCAGACGGGGGGAATAAAAACCAAACACCCCCCACCCCACCCCTGCTGCCAATCCTCAACAGAAATGCTCACAACAATGAAAACCTCGGAGGGGGAAGAGTGCCGCTGGGTGGGCAAGCAGGTGTCTTGCTCGGCTGTGGCTTGGGGGGCACTTTTTTCAGTGCCATTGTAACTTCGAACAGTCACTAAGCGAACTGTTGTAAGTCGAGGACTACCTGTACTTTATCATTTTTTTCCTTTTTTTTTTGGGTCATCAAGTTTTTGACACCTTGCTAGGTGACTGGTGGTGCTCGGATGTTGCCATATCCTAAAAGTGGTACAATGGGTAAAAAGGTTGAAAAGCCCTGCTTTAAAGTTATAGCAGCACTGGAAAAAAATGTCTTGGGACTGGTCCTTGTACTTGTAACATTGCAGCATTGCCACAGGCATGTGATCATAGATTAAATGCTTGTCATCTGGCATGTATTTAACAATGTTTGCAGTGTGCTGGAGTCGTGTGATCATCATTTGCGATTTTTCCCTGCTGGCTTCCAAGAAGCTAAGTCAATGGGGGAAGCTGGATTCCCTTAAGTACTGCAGTGATTCACTTAACATCCATGGCAAAAGTGGTGATAAAATTGGTCATAAAATCGGGGAGACTTCCGGTGGCAGGCGTCTTCGTCGGTCGCAGCTGTTTGCTGCCTCCCGCCTGTTTCGCGTAAAAGCCGGTTTGACAGCTAGCATCAGCTGTCAAACGGCTTGATACCTTTCCCCTGGGCATAAGGGGATAGGTGAGCTGCCCGGGGTAGGAGTTGAGTTCCCGAGTCGTCCTATATGGACGATGTAGGTG